GTGCTGTAAGAAGCGAAATACTTGTTAGTTTAATGTACCACCACCCTCCCCGCCCCAATGACATGAGCGCCTGAATGATAAAGTCGAAACCTTGGAACAAAACTATTGGACGGTTGCTGTAAGGCCAATCCAGCCTCATCTCTATATACCATTTTGAAGGTCCTCTTTGATCACGCTCGAGTCTCTAAAGGCATCAAGTTGGGCGCAGCAAGCAAGCGATTTGTTGAAGTTGGACTATCTCTGAGATACAGTAGAAAAATAATGTCAGCCTCATTGTTCTGCTCGTAGAAGGAGGAAGAGAAAGGGTATAAAAAAGCTCAGAACGGTTGTTGTTTCACACCAACGACGGCCTCAACCCTAACCATTCTTGAAGGTTAAACTTCTATAAAACAAGCGCCAGGTCTCGACACCCCAACTCCCCTTTCCTTCACCTGAGTAATAGTCCAGTCTTTGGCAGGCAGGACGTGTTTCAACACCTTTACATGCAGCTTTCAATAAACAGCGTGCACTTCAACGAGCGTCATGTCAATATTCACTTGATCGATCGTATTTTTCCGTTTATTGCGCTGGAATTGCTGATGTGGTGATTTGCGATTGAAAGGTTATATTTTGGGGTCATCATCGATCATCGTGTCCTGTCAGCTGAGCGATAGCGGGCTGATAAGTGGTCCAACCCTTGTCCCCTATAGTTTGCACTTTGCCCTGAGTAGTGTGACCGGTCTGGCTGCTGCCACGACAAACGCTACTACTTCGTGATTTTCTCTTCGTCAAAGCCTATTTCACTAGGACGCGACCAAGCGCCTCGGGGGTACCTTTCAATAGGTCTGGCTGGAGTCCCAACGATGATTTGTGACCCTTCGCTATCTCTTTGATAACCAGGCAAACCTGTTTGGATAATTTTTTTCAGAGGTTTCGACCTCGTGATATGCAACGGTTTGCTGCTGAACAGTCGCCGCCCTTTCGCGTGGCTGACGTCACGATTGTACGCCATTGACTGCACGTCACTGCATTACACTTTCGTCTACGCTGTTGATGAGCTGTTCGCCATGATGGCTTGCTACCGATTCTTATCGATGTTATCATTTTTTGCAGCTCTTAAAATTTCGAAGTTCGCACGAACCTTGTTCCATGATATTTTCTGATGGATTCGCTCGCTTCATTCCTGACAAAGCTGCCCACTTGATTCGTTTTGACCTTCATGAGCGTGACCGGCGCTCACTTACGCTAGGCTAGCGCTTTTACCTGACGAGCTATTGCGTTATTCGCTCCAACCCTGCGCCCTGTTATTGACACCCTGTAGGTTATTGTTTAGATAAATTTAACTGCCTAACGTGAACCTCGCCGTCAACCTAAAATTCCCTATTTACATGAAGTCCATTCGCTTTCTGCACGTGTTTTTCATTGTCATCTGTCACATCAGTCAAAAACTGCCTAATATTTGAAAACCCTTGAGCTCAACTTGCTACTCCCATGACTGTTTCGTGGCTATCAACGGTTACCATACAGTACTCCAGGTAATTCACCTACGCCCGTATAATGGTTCTGCTTGCGGCCATCGATCAAGGAACGTCCAGCAGTCGCTTCCTCGTTTTTGAGGCTGACACTGGGGAGCTAGTGACAAGTCATCAGGTGAGCTATATCACAGATAACGACTGCATTCTCAAGATGAACAGTGAGGGAATTACCACTGATTTTTCCTGAACTTCAAATTCGCCTTCTCATCGTGCCAGTGGCATCGGGAAAGAAAAGTTCCGATTTTCGACGAGCCTGCCACAGGAAGTTTAGCGCGAAAAGTTCATGATGAGCTCTCAAGCCTGAACTCTGTCGCTCATTGTTGTTTACCGTGATTCTATTTTCATAGTTCCTAGTGGCTAAAGAATAATAAGAATTTCACCACATCGCATGGGGTTGCCAACTAATGAAAACAAAGCTGTAACGCGGCTGTGAGACGTTTTTGACGACACATTGCTGGAAAACAGATTTGTTTTTCACAGCACCGGCGATCTTCAAAGACTGTGTCCTTATTGTAGATTGTTTTGATTGCGAGGTATCATTAGGTCACACCGGTAGATCGGCTACTAAAAGGGCGATTGTTAGGCATTGCAATATCTTTTGGATACGCTATCAAAGGCCAGCACGTTTTCTGCCCATCTTCCCAAGAAGCAGCAATTTTCAGGTTCCTTTGCCGCTTCGAACCATAGAATCTGGCCAAATAATTTCAAATCCAAAACTGAGTGATCCTAAAAATATTGATCGATCCACTGAAAACGAATCTTTTATCACTACCAGAATTAATCCACGATGTACCATGATGTTTACCACAGCACCCAGAAGCTGCTCCACCCAGCTCGTGATGCTGCCGGGCCCTCAAATTAGGCTTTCTCAACGGTGTGTGGAATAATTTTAAGCATGACAGAGTTCCTCTGGGGGTTCTCAGACCTTGCTTGGAAGAAGGAATCATTTCACATCCTTGTGAAAGTTTTCTAGACCTGACCTTGCAAGAAAGTGCTGGGCAAACACATTTGCCCAATATTAGAAAGCCTTTATGTTCCTCGAAAATTCAGTCTTCTTGGCTTGACCCATTATCCATTATTAATTTTCAATTTTCCTGAACAAGTTCTCTTGGACTATAATTCTGATTCAGATCGAGGTGCGGCAGCTGTTTCCTGAACCGGGATGGGTCGAAATGGATCCTATCGAGATTATTAACACAGTCAAAGAATGTATCGTTAAAGTTGTCGAGAAACTTGAACGTCTCGGCATTTCGCCCGATGAAATTAAGTCCATCGGTATAGCTAATCAACCGAGTGTTAGTGGACCACCAATGAGAAAGGAGAACTCTACCGTGGCTGTGGATGAAACGTTATCGCCGAGTCGCTGATCAATTTTTTCTGGCCGCTCATTTCTCACAATTTTTTTCACATTTCTTTCTTACCTATAGGAATCGTCTTTCAGAAACTACTATAGTATGGGATAAGGAGACGGGAGAACCTCTCCACAATGCAATCGTGTGGTTGGACAACCGCACTTCGGACCTCGCGGAAGAAAGCATTGCGAGGACCAGCTCCAAGTACGGTATTCGCTTGAATGGGCATCACGGTAGTCATGTTACGTGTAATGGATTATCGCTTTTCAGCTCTAAGGACGAATTTAAGGAGAAAGCTGGGCTGCCGATCCATCCGTACTTCAGTGCTCTGAAGTTACGGTGGCTTTTTCAGAATGTTGACGCTGTAAGAACGGCTCAAGAGAATGGTATGTGGTATGGCGAATTTGGGTTGTTATAAAGTCAATTTAAAGGCACAATTGCGCTAGAACTTCAAGGCTGGTGTCAGAGTCCGCGATCCGTCGCAGGCTTTGCTGATTTAAGCGATTTTAGCGATTACTCGTTTTTCGCGATATCCGCGATTTGCGCGACGGGTCACGGTAACCACAAGTGACCCTGCAATATTGCAAGGTGTTCTTCAATGCTGCCGCCACTTCTGCTTGATAGTGATGGCTGAATGACGGCTGCCCTTATGACTCGACTTGTTTGATATTATAGTATCTAGAATTATAGGATAGAATAGGAACGAATTCTGAGCATTCCAGTGAACTGATAGACATTGAACATGAAACAAGTGGAATCACGAACAGTTCTCTTTCAATCTTCACTGTTGAGAAGAATTCGTAGCAGTATTAAACAGCACCTCGCAGTATCATCGGGCACTTCCAACTCCTGTGATCCATCGCATGTTTCGCGCAAATCGCGCAAGTTGCGATAATCGCTGAAATCAGCGAAACCTGCGACGGATCGCAGACTCTGACACCAGCCTAGCAACTGCTATGCGCTTTGAAGCATGTGGCATGTGTTGCGTCACTTTTAGCATCTGTGAAAATTTAAGAAACGGATACCAATACTCGACTTTTAAGGTCGATTGCTCTTCGGCACTGTCGATACTTGGCTCATCTGGAAGCTGACCGGGCAACACGTCACAGATGTGTCCAACGCTTCCAGAACGCTCCTATTAGGTGAGCTTCAACGAATGTTTGACCACAGTTCAGGACATGTTAAACAAAAATCGTTTAGACCTGCGCAAGCGCCAGTGGTCATCGCAGCTCTGCAGTTTCTTTGAAATTCCCGCTAATATACTACCACAGGTCAAATCTAGCGCTGAGGTCTATGGCACCATCGTTGAAGGTATGAGCTTCCACAGTCTCGACACTGCTACAACCAGCAAACAGCAGTCATCATTTCGGTTACAATTTTTAGGCCCTCTGAAGGGTTTCCCCATTGCTGGCTGCTTGGGCGACCAGCAAGCTGCAATGGTTGGCCACAACTGTTTGAGAAAAGGAGACACGAAAAACACCTATGGAACAGGCACATTTATGCTGACCAACATTGGTAAGTTCAGCTTACTGAATTCACGTATTCGTTCAAAATTATGGCTTAGAGACAAACCGGTGGAGAGAAACCGGCATTCATGAGAAGGCGTTGGGCCATATCTACTAGCGCGCTTGGGGGTCCTTGACGAACACCCCTTACCTTTGAACATCCTCAGCCGGTCGAACACTTCTACTGCCCTCAAGCTTTACAGGCTCTGAAATAGAGTTCGAAACACCATCCTGCTCTTGTAGAGAGAACATGTTCCCTTTTGAATTTTGGAAGGGCTTCTGAAGCTACTGTTGGGAAATGCGTGAACTGCTGCGAAGTGACGGAATTAATGCCGTGCAGCCAAAGCAAAACAAGCAGTACTTCAATACATGATTGCATGGTTTTTTTAGTTCCGGATAACATGAAATTACAGTCCGCATCTGAATTCTGATTAAAAGTGGCTATGGATCTGACTGGTGGTCGTCGCATTTGATAGGTGTTGCGCTGATGAGCTGGCTCTAGCTTGCTTTGCTGATATTCACCGGAGTATATTAGAAACAGCTCATCCCCAAGACTTCTATCAAGTGCGGCGACGGCCACGTCAAATCCATGAACACGCTTAATCAGATTTCAGATATGGACTGTACGACGGTTGGTCTGATAGAGGCATAATTCGAATGTACTGAAGTCTTATCGGCTCTCACCTCGATTCGTCGTCAAGATAACACACTATCGATGGAACTAGGATGACATCTGTCAGTGAAACTGGGTTGTGAGGCGAGCCTGAACCCACAGTCCTGCAAACCTCTATGAAAGAGGCGTGAAAGAAAAAATGAATGTATTTACAAACTAGAGTTCTATGGAGGCAGTCCATGGTGCTCAGATAGCAAAGATAAGAACAAGAGTGCTAAATGCACGGAACCCACTTATCCCCACTAGATGTAAGACGTTCTGTCGTTTGTGTGTGTGAACGAAATCCATAGCACGCTTCGCTGATGCAATGGAGCGCTGTTTTTCCAATATGATGCAGGGTGTGGGACCAGAACATATGGATATGGGGGAACAGAAGTGATAACGGCTGATAAGGGCTGATAAACCGTACCGGAACGCAAATGTCACGAAAATCATAGCGCTAGTTCCCGTAGCAGTGGAGTGTTGGTTCCAGCAACCAATGTTTAGGTGGGACTGGAGCATATTTGGTGCAAGGAGCAAACGGATTACAGCCGATAAAAGCTGAAGCGCCAGAGCATAGTGGACACTGAAAGCCGTCTGAAGAATCTCATTTCATTTTGCTTGGGTTACCATCAAACTTCGTTCGATCACTTCCGTCAAGGGTCCTGAGAATGCATGGTGGATGTTTGAAGAAATACGACAACGATTACGGGGTACTTCTATTTTAACCTGGTCCTCCGGCAACCGCGGGGACCTCCTTTCAGTGCGCAAGCTTTGCGCTTCTCATCCTCTCCTTAACTTCCCTCCACTGCTCCTTTGCTGCCACTGCAGCACCTTGGGGAATGACCAACTGTGCTGAGCACTTGTTTATATAGCCATTGGGGCGTTACCACAATCATGACATGGCACAAAATCATAGGGTAAGCCTTTCGAGCTACCCAGATTGTTAGCTTCTTGTTTATCTCATTAGATGCCTTATCATTCACTTCATTTTGCGGTCGGACGGACAGACATACAAGGCGACACACCAAGTTAGCGATTTATAAAATAGCATAACTCAGTAGTCGGATAATGCCCGACGAGCGTTGGGCATTGTTCGACCACTAAGTTATGCTGACGTTCGTGGTTGTTTACAAACACTAGTTCAGTCTCGCGTTCTAACGTGTTTCAAACGGTAAGCTTTAGCGGAAATGGGCAGGCCGTCAGCTAAGCCATTACTCGAAGCAGCTTACTGTTTGAATCTTCTAGCGGTGGTACCTAACGCCCCACAGGCCATTCATTTTCACAGAAGTCTACCGTGCCATGCGCGTGATAGCGTACAGAGTTATACTGTTTTGAATATACTTCTAATAAGTATCGGTAAATGTGGAGGAAGCTTGAGACGCTTCCACACTTCCATATGCCATGGTCAAAAAAGGGTTCTGGACTATACGAGTGGACATGTCTGCCCAGATCCACGGTTCGGGTAGGGGAGTTGAATGGTGGATGACCAAGTGCAGAAAGTTGGAATGTGATGTAGGACACTCACCGGTCTTCATCAAAACTACACTTCAGATGAACTTTTCGCATTATCTTGTGTTTGTCATAAGAAGGCTGGAGAAATGCCCTTCAATACGAACCGAGAAAGGCATTCGACTTCCCATGGAAATTTGAATGGAGAGCTACATGTATAGATAGGGTTTTGAACGCTGATTACAAATATAAAGACGGGAAGAGAACTCGTGAACTCCCGGTTTGAGAGTGACAGCACTACCACTTTTACACAGTGCCTCTGAAGCTCGGAAGCTGGCACAGTTCATATGTGACGCTTTACCTCCACCCAACTTTGACTGCTCACAATTTCCTTGCCAAACTCATTTTGCAGTTTTACTTTCCAGATTTGTAATTAACGTTTGAAGCTCCATCGATGTATGTGGGTGTCCATTCAAAGCCATGAGGAGCTAAATGCTTTCCCTGGTAATGATAAAATAACATGGAGTGCTCCCCCAACTCCATTTTCACCTTACTTACTAGCGCTCCTGAAAAGGTTCTTTATGATCGTTTTTTCAATTATGATGACTTGACTACGCATGGAACGAGTTCATGAAGTAACCGGGTCACTTGATCCCAGGTGGAATTGCGGAGAATCGACGGACTTAGCAGTCCATATACTCAAAATGTCTGCCTGTGAATGCGTCATTGACAAATTGACTTCCTTAAAAGATATTAACCAGTAGCCACGTCAAAATTTTGCAAGAGATACTTATTGTTTGGTTAAAAGGCTTCTGTCAACCAGGGGGTGAGAGTGTAGAAGGAAAAGCAGACATTCTTTGTGGTAGGGGGACTAAGCCTTTTAAAGGAGCTGAAGAAAGCGGAGATTCTGCAATAGTGCGCTTGTGTGAGAGCTCCCAGACAGCACAACAGAGCGCTGAATTGCCTAGCCTCACGGATGACAGATGTCGCGGAAACCCCCTATTGTTCAGTGCGAGCGATTAAAGACGCTAGATGTGAAATGCACAAGCCTAAACGCTAAATATTCGGTACCGGCAGGTCAACAGACAGTCAAGCCTGGCCTCTTGACGACAGTAGGCTCCAAGGTTCGTGACCGCGATCTCAGAGTTTCAGTTCTATCTGAAGCTGCTTTTTAGTGTAGCGTTTTTCCAAACCAAAAGGATTCAATACCAGTAATTCGAAAGTAATTGTGTCGGTAATCCATCAAAACTTACACGGACGGCCCTCTTATTTAACACGTTGGCAACGTAAGCGCCGATTTCGCGGTGTCTCTGCCGTGTGGGACCACGGAAAACCACATGTACTTTTTCTTGCAACAGTTTGTCTACATAGCAAATTCAATGCGCTGATCACGAATATGGCAGTAGATTAGGAGCGTTTGGGCCATTTGGCACCGTTTGCTCTCCTAATTGGCGCTAGACTTGGCGCCACGATATTTCAGTGTCAAATTCGGCAAACACCTATATTGATAGCTATCCCTCCGCTGAACACGAATAAGACCCTGGTCACAGACTCGAAATCTGCGGCGCCGAAATTTCTTCAACTGGCGGCGAAAGTCTGCAACTTGCGAGGCATCGGTTGTGCGGGGGACTATCAACCCGAATGAAGACGACGTTCTGAACATGCAAGCAAAAGCTACGAATTAAAGCCGACCTGCGGACCGAGGATGATGTTTTCCGAGATCAAACCTCCTTCGATAAAGAAAATGGACTTCATAATGATGCTGCTGAGACAGCAAATGTTGTCGAGGCTGGTATAGCATGCTTTCCGACGAACATGGTAGTTAATATATTAGATCACATATAAAAAAGTGGGAAGTAGATGGTACTTGTGGGGGCTTCTTCTGTATTGGATACTTCCAAACGCGCCACAAATTTTTGGGAGAAATCTCAGCTGCTAGTCGCGTCATATTACGTTTTGTGTTATTTTTGAAATGTAGTAAAACGATATCATGTGAAAAACCTAAGGCAAAGAATATTATTAGCCTTACAGATATAGAAGTAATCAGAAGAAAGAGAAAAATATAAGCATTCCAATAAGTTGGGGTGTCGCCAGACAGCGGGTGCCATCGTCCCACGCGGCAGAAAAGGTGTCGCCCGACGTCGGGTGCCATTGTCGCCAATGTGTTAATACACGCTTCTTCAAAGGCAACGGCTCAATGGATGGAGTGTTTGTGCGAAATGATGCATATGGGAGAGCAGAAAGAATAACGTGATAGAGGTCGTGTTCGCTCCAATGAAAGCTGAGGGGTTTGTAGGAAGAAGGTCCAACAATGGACACAACAGTGTCGCTGCCGCTCATTCACTGTCATCACTAATTGCGCATGTTTGTTCGCATGCAGTCAATGTAAAGCAAATGACCCTACGACAATCCGAAATTCAAATTTACATGAAAGGTAGTTGTTGGTTTGATTCGTAAAGATCCTTATGACGACAAAGGGAGGAAGCGCATCCTCCAAAACAACCTTGGGAAAGGGGCTGCAAATATCTATTAGGTCGGTCCAGTTTTTGAGACACTTTACATATACTGCTGCAAAATTCTTTTGATGAGTATTTGAGCTTTTCAAGATGTCCTGTAACTTAACACACAAGCTCGCCTATCCTACAGGCTAGCCATCTCGTTACCTTATTATTTCTTTACCTAGGGTTTCAATTTTTTTGATATCTACCTATGAGCCTCTTTCTTCATGATTTCAGATTAGAATCTTCCACGCGCGGAGCTATATGGAGGATTATCAGAAGACAACTGAGGGCACCTCTCCCATTTCACAGTGCTCCGGTGGTTAACTTTACTCAGAGTTCCTTCCATTTATTCGAAGATGATTTACATTCCAACCGCCCCGCGGTTGGGAATCTCGATGGTCTATCCGGCGTCCTTGAAAAGGCATCTAAACAAAATGAGCGCCATTTGTCAGAGCGGCTTCTGTGTGACAAGGTGAAGGTACTCAGACATCTCGATAAAGCCGCTAAGGTTTGAGAGTATGGAGTTCGTCTCTCACATGCTCTGAGCCCGATCAGCTCTCAACCCGATCTAACATCATCATGTTTCCTTTCCCCTTACTTCGCCCGAATGACCATCCAGCATACTTCGTGATGTGGACTGGGTGCAGTGTGCTAACAAATTCACAAGCCGCAGTAGCTTAGCTTAAAAGATTGGGGAGTTCTGACAGCAAAAATCCAACTCCCTCTGAATTCTGACTTTTTGAGTCGTTGGCAGAATACGCGAGGGACTTTGTGAGAACCGAGGCTAACTAATATCAGTGTTAGTGATGAAGGTGATCGTCGACAGCTCGACGGCGGCGCATTTGAATTGAAAGCAAAGTAGACAAAATCAATTTTCTTCTGAGATCGTTCGAGTCCACCTTGCTAAGAAAATTCATGAAAAATTGGAGACTTTGGGGCGGTCAATTCTTTTAGCTTCTTATTTTAGCACTGACCTTGTGCCGACAAATGGGCATCTGTTCCCCTCTCTAGTTCACGTTCTGAAAAAGACATTTCACTCCAATCACCATCATGTCAAAATCGACATCCAATTTTTCTTCGACCAGAACTCTACGGCACTCTACAAAAGAGAGATCAAACACCTACCCTCGCATCGGCGATGTGTTGGTAATAATGTTGATACATACTTCATTAAATAACTAGATTAGATGAATAAAGGATTCAAAAAGGTATCGCTTTTGTCGTTGATCAATCCCGTTTTGGGATGCGGCACGCATCCTGGTTCCATTTGTACATTCGTAGTGGCGCTTGAACGCGATGTGGCCAATACAATGATTTGCGGGGGCTAGCCGATGTGCAAGTCAATTTTCAATCCTACCAGACAAGTCTGGTAATAATCAACCAACCCCGTAGGGGTGGAAGGCTTGGTTGACCGGGCGACTCACGACCCAGGATTTGATCCAAAAACCGCTCGCGTGATAGGCGTGCCACTTTCCACAACAACACTTCCGCCCAGATAATTATCTGACAGATCTTATCTTATCTTTGTCTGTCAGATAAATAAAATAAGTAATCAAATCGAAAACATCCAGATTGTCTCAAAAATTATGGACCGCCTTAACAGCGAATGAACGAAAGCCCTTCGAGGGCCTAGTGGAAGAGTTTGGTATCAGTAGAAAGTTCGAAATGGATTTGCCACCTTCTCGTCATCATCACATACCGCAGCCGCAAATGGGTTACTTATCGGAATTGGGTCCGAAAGGAAACGAATTAAATGAAGAATGGAAGAGACCATAGTATTACGAGCTCGAGGTTCGATGAATCTTGGCATCGTGTATGGTCTTCTTGGATATGCTTTTAGAGCCACAAGCCAAGATGGTACAACAATTTTATTCGGCTGACGTTTCGGCTTGGTCGCCTTCGTCAGAGCCTGGAAAGTCAAGATCACTGCGACCTACCGCAGACATCATTTCAAGTTTCGAAATAGCACCATAGACCCGTAGCCTCCAGGGAGCGCCATAAACCACAAACACCGTCAACTCACCTTAGAACGCACAGTGGGATTCTGCTGAGACCACCGCTAAACACTCGCTGTGGGTGGATCTAGGAGACCTGGCCCACCGGCATGGAGCTGATGGCGCTCGAAGCCCACAAAGGTCAGCGAAAGGTGCGAGTTCATTAGTTATGGCTAGACATTCATCTTTCCTGTTAATTCTTGGATTTTTGGCGCTGATCCAAAAGGATTCTAAAGTTTAACGTTATGACCGTGCTTGCCTCACCCCTAATTGTGTTATCCGCCTAACGGGCGGAAGGGTGACTGCATGGCATCGTGTGTGGTCTACCTGATCTTATGTGCACTCTGCAGGGAGCAGTACATCGGGGAAACTGGGCAACCGTTGTGCATCAGGATTAAAGAACACCTATACGGGCTTAACAGGTCAAGGCCTGAGACCCCCCTGGGTGGTCATCGGATACAATGGCACGGAGGCGCGAAGTTTGAAGTCTCTATAAGGATCTTGACGCGAGAGCCCCACACCTCAGCGCGCAAAACCTTGGAAGCCTTTTGGATCAGCGCCAAAGATCCAAAAATTAACAGGAAATATGAATATCTAGCCATAACTAGTAAACTCGCACCTTTCGTTGACCTTTGTGGGCTTCGAGCGCCATCGACTCCATGCCGGTGGTCCAGGTCATCTGGAGCCACCCACAGCGAGTCATTCTAGCGGTGGTCTCAGCAAAATCCTACTGTGCGTTCTAAGGTGAGTTGACCAATGTTTGTGGTTTATGGCGCCTCCTGGAGGCTACGGGTCTATGGGGCTCTTTCGAAGTTTGAAATGATGTCTGCGGTAGGTCGCACTGACCTTTGACTTTCCAGGCTCTGACGAAGGCGACCAGGCCGAAACGTTAGCCGAATAAAGTTGTTGTATCATCTTGGCTTGTGGCTCCACAAGCCAAGATGAGACCATACTCTTACTCGTTAGTGTAAGGTATTGTAAGCAACCAAGACTGGGAACAGCTTTTGATTTTGCACAGGCAAATTGTCATATGAACAAGACACCTTTCAAATGTCCAAGAGGGTTGACTGTATGGCGCATATCAAACGGAACGGATCTGCGCCAAGAATGTGACTTCCTGCTTTCTCCATCGAGATCTTTTTCAGAAGCAAGTTGAGGTTTTTTGAAGAAGTTCCCTGCTGCGGCTGAGGAGGAGTAGAGTTTGAGTGGTCTGAAATTTCCTCGACATTTCCCCGACGCAACTTTCTCGCAAACAAGAAAATGTGCAAAACAAATGCAGTATCTGTCAAGAAGCATGAATCTCCTAGTACACCTTCAGTTTCCAGTTTTCAAAGAATTGCACGGAAGAAGCTACAGCCTTCTAAAGCTCCTAAAGCTCTGCCTCAAGAAGACCTTTTCAAGCATGTACATAGCATCATATCTTTTCATTCCAAGATAACATGCTAAGTCATCTCAAACATTCGCTGTTGTGCTCATAGGCAGGTCCAAATTTGAGCACAGTGTCGGTTCCATTTTTCATTCTTTCAACCTTTTTTCTAAGATTCCTCTTCACTAACGTATCACCCAGCTCTAGCTCCTCTTTAATTTTTGAACAACATCGAATTATCGTGGCTCCTGCATTTGAGTCTTGGTACTTGAATGTTCCTTTCATTTGGATTTCCTCCATTCCTTTTTCGTTTCATTCTGAGCGTTTGTGGCAGAACATCTTTTGGCTGGGAGTAAATAAAATATTTCTTTCAAATCAAAATTAGGGAATGTGTATTTTCCGCCTATTACTAAACTAACTCCAATTCAGTTTGGCCCCGATTCGCCAGTCGTGTATGCATTGGAAGGTTCGGGTTCGATTGGTGGCAATGTTGTGCGCTTTCTACGCGACAACTTCAACTTCATAAAGGTTTGTGGTTGCAATCCCATTTAATCACGCTGCCCATGTCCATAACTTCTTGTGCTCAGAACGCTTCGGAGATGGAGTCGATCTGTCGTTCAGTAGAAACCACAGAAGGTGTCATTTTCGTGCCATGTTTCACCGGCCTTTACACTCCTTATTGGGACCCAACAGCTCGAGGAACAATTCTTGGCCTTACTCAGGTAACGAATTTATTTTAATAAAGATTTCTGCGGACGTGTAGTTCGGTCCCGAATGACGCTCATATCTGCCTCGCTGCCCTTCGAGCCGTAAGCATATCAGAGTGCTGAAATGATAAAAGCTGTGGAAGAAGATTCTTGGCGACAGTGACTTGTCCATACCCTGAAGGTAATGTCCTCTTTAGTTTAGCTTGTTCTGCTTGAACAAAAAGATCATCGCAAATTTCAGACTGACGGAGAATGACCGCTATGATGCTGTCAATGAATAAAGCAGAAATTATTGGAAAGGTCATCAAAACTCCGAAGATCACCGAAATTTCCGGTTTGGAGCGGTCTGTTGCTGGCGGCATCGGGTGCGCAGCAGATCAGCCTTGACGACTTTTCTGCTCGAGATCACTGTACGCTTAACTGACTACAAACACTTCATTGGCCCGCTTTCATGTAACCCTACTGTTCAGGGGGCCAATAAGAAAAAAGACATTTTGTCTCCACTTCCAGATGGTGTGAGCACATTTTGCTCAATTCAGCACGAATTTCCCAACTTATTATTAAGGAGCGCATTCCATTCCCTATATAGAAATCTTATGGTGGCCACCTACGTGGACGGCATCAGAAAATTTGGCCTGGAAACATGGTCACTGGTCGAGCTCAATGGGGTCTTCAAAGGATCGTGGCCATAACGACCCTTACTGGAAGCTAGTTTCGAGGGGATTTGCACAGTGGTAGCTAATGCCTCTAGAAAACTATCCAACATCAAATCTATTCACGAAATTGCGTAAGAGCGTTAGACTCTTTGAGGTGCGCTGACGACGGTGACAGACGACGTCATATCTGAAGACGGTGAGGGCAGTGAGGGAGGCCCTGCGTTCACTTATAGAGGGATACTTAGGGAATACTCTTGCTGAGGAACTCCCGTCAACGACAGCAATCTCTGCGAAGAAAAAAGAGCCGAAGTCCGACATAGGCAAAATGTCTTTTTTTGTCCCCCCTGTATATTAAACGCTATGTCTGTCTGTTTGTGTATTTGTGTTTCATTGAAAGTTCATAGCACACGTCGCAGCAAATGGTTGGGAGTGGATTTTTGAGTCTAATAGCGGGCTGGACGGAGACCAAAAATGATGGGTGATCAATGTGAAAAGGACTGATGAGAGCCGAGAAGGGTCAGTGTATAGCTACCGCCATTTCGTTGCGCCTCTTCACAGTAACAGTGAAAAGTTATTTCTAGCTGTGTCATAGGGGACTGCGCGGGACCGCTGATGGTGGGCGATCCAGCATGATACTTGACTGATTAATTGTTTTTGGGAACGTTTGAACATGAATTCTATTCAATTCACTGCTCATTTCGCTGTGACAGTTGCCACATTCGCTACACAAATGCCACCCTACTGAACTAATATATGTATTATTATATACATAATATGTATGTACCAGTTTCTAAGCCCTATCGGCGCACATTTTGAAGTAGACATCAGTGAAACTGCGTATGCCGGGATCATTGTTAGTAACATGCTGAGTATGCTTTCATTGTCATAACTGATGGTATCAAGGAAATTCAGATGAAAATCAGTAATTTCTAATAGTTCGTCAATACCAATAAACGTCCATCATTTTTCTGGAATTAACACGTGTAGCCAGCCGAATCAGCGTTGTATACTAATACAACTACTTGGGCTGCTTACTATCGGCCCTCAGCGTAAAATATCTACCATTCTTGGATTTATGTTATAGTATTTCCACGGACACAGCCGCCCGTTTGAAAGTATAGGAAGTTAGTGTCGTATGGTTCACGACTACATGGCGAAGAAATTAGATACGTTTTCTTATCCCACTTCTGGATAAAAACTTCAGTGATATTCGCTTGCAAAGCTCGTTATCAGCTCCTATCTGCCGTTTTCACTTCTGGCCCATCAAATATGTCCCGCTCCTTAGATCTATCTGCGAAATAACGCCTCAATGCTGCTGGACCTTGAGTTTGAATTCCGTGACATTTTCCTCAACGTTTCTATCAGCCCATTAGTTGTTGTCACTTCATTTGTTTTCCACCGAGTAATGTTTTGGTCGCAACGCGCTTACATCTCTTTCGGACGACAATGAATCACTCCTACTATGTTCGCGCGCCACGCATTTCACGACTTCTGCGTTCTAACGACCCTTATCAGATCTTATCAGTAGTTATCACTTTCTGTCGTCCACCAAATGTGTTTCCGTCTGACCCCTATATCAATTCTGGAATCAAAATCAATTCAAATCCAGGTGACTGCTGGTACGCGCGCTATGCATTTCGTGATATACACCTACAGAACCTACACACACGCACAGACATACTTGGCGAATTATTTAGTAGGATATATATATAGATATATATATATGATGTTTGAAGGCTACCACCTACATGCCGCATTCGGACGAGGATCGACGAGCGGCCGATTTGGAGCGATGGAGAGATGCTGTGTGCCGAGCACGTGGATGGGCTCAATCGGCCAAGTAAAAGGCACTCATACACGACTCTTTGTTTTCCCAAATGCGAACATTGCAAACTAGCTACGAGTATCCCATCAATTCAATCACTTTACCTCATTTTTAGTTGTAAATACGTATAAATGGTATGAAATTGTATTCATATTTCGCTCCGAAACCGAAAACATAACAATGACATCTTTATTCTTTTTCACAGCAACAACTCCTTACGTTAGATAAAAGGGTTAACAGCGGTCGATAACGAATGCGCATAACAAATGGATACCAAACTGACTAAAAATGAGGAAAAAACAAATAAATGAACCGTGAATGAAATCCATAATAAACACCCTCTCTCTTCCCCTTCGAAATGAGGAGGGACTTGTCTGAAAGAATTTTGCGAATTCGCTTGCTCCATGGCTCCACTGTCCCGCGCATATGTACAATATGTCGGACGCAACGTCGTAATTCACGTTGCGTGTTGGCGAAGAATCCCCCTATTGTTTTGTGATGTGTCTGTGAACAGAGACCTTGTCAGGCATCTGATTCCAACATCCAGGTCATGTAAAGGTAAGCATTCTCTCCTTTATGAGCAAGAATTGGCCAATCAGCGAGCTTGGATAAAAAATTTGCTAAAGGTGGAAGCTCGAGAATCCAACGTGTCCTCTCTTCTACAGCCTCATCAAGACTCAAAGTTGGTTGCTGAAAACATGAGGTCACTCCTGCCGCATAACCTCAAAGTAAGGCCAGTAATTGATGGAACGACCGATCGGATTTCATGTCAATAAGATTATCGGTCAATTTCTCGTTCACGTACCGTCACATCTGCCAAACATGGGACAATTTCTGAACCGCTTGCATTATTGCAGGCCTCAACACGACTGTGAGTGACACATCACTTTGTTGCAGAGTAATTTGGTGTCTGCATTCTACACTAACGTTAGCGACAACGAGACTTCACAAGCAGTTTCGGAAAGGCTCAGCGAAAGCGACAGCAGTATGATAACGTTCGGACTGAGTAAAACTTAAGTAATGGCTCTCTTCAGGAGTGTTCTGCAACATATTCAAGTGGTCTACAAGATACTTCTCACAAATCAGAGGCTTGCAATGGGGCAACGGCTAGCACCGGTGCTCGCTGTTTGCTTCGTGAGAGCGGTTGAACGCTCAGTGCTAGAACGTCTGCCATTCATTACTGTTAATTGTATCGACGACTGTTTTTTTCATCCCGTCAATTCAAGCCGAAAGGCCAATTGAACTGAAACGTCAACCTATAGACTATTTTTAAACCACGGGCTATTTTCCAAAAAAAGAGCCTTCACACAAAGTTCTAAGTTTGTTGGAGATCCCAATCTTATGGTTTTAATTGGCTTCAGAGACTGCAAAACCGTTCATGAGGGAAGTTGATTATTTGGATGATGAAAACTGTCGCCTTTTCAGAAACGGGAACAAAACCTCTAAAAACGGGGTCAATGGAGCCTTTTTTTGAAAAAGGGGTCCTCGAGAAAGTTTCGGTGCTCTTTCGGAGGCGCTTATCTTCTAGTTTCTAATCAGCCTGCTATGAAGGTCGCTCAGGGTGTGTGACGCTTTTTGAAAAGGTTTTTAGCATGAGTGTAGGGGGTCTCACGTGAACCGCAATACTGCGTTTTATTTTCGCTGAGAACTCACCTGAAGGTGAAGGGTCGAAAATATGTTAAGAAAAGGTGGTTTTTGCTGACATGGAGTGACGTTTCGGATTTTCAGAACAGACCACCTGCATATTGAAGGGTATTGATGAGGAGGGTATCAAAAACAGCGTAAATTCGCTCGAAATCAAAGTACTGCCAGTGGTAGTGCTGAAGAAAGTGTGGAGGTTTTATAGCCCTTGTCGGTGTCATGCCTTCTGCAGCGGAGTGGTGATAAAGGACGACTTCACGATTAGAATGAAGGTCGAAGGAGTAATTCACTCAGTTGAGGGAACAGCGGAACTCCCAAGAGTGCGGATTGAAGCGCAATCGGCACCGAAGGAATTGACCTGGGCGACCAGTTGAGGATCACTCTTGGTG